TTTGGGTAGTGTGGGCGGCATATAAATAAAATAAAATAAAATAAAATAAAATAAAATAAAATAAAATAATAAATAAATAAATAAATAAATAAATAAATAAATAATAGGTACGAAGAATTCCACACTGCCTTTTTCCTCTTTAAAACTGTTTTGTTTCTGTGCTTGCCATGCAGAAACAGAAACTTCTGTGGCTAGGATGGAAAACTAGAAGGCTACATATGGAGTGATGGATGGCTTCCACCTTCCCTCTCTACCAGCCTGCTTTGCAGAACATTTTTCTTTTCCCCGCTTTTTAGGTTTCCTAGTTTGTTTCCCTTCTTCTGAAGATGGCATGCAAGCATGGGCTAGTAAAGTAATGACACACTAGTAACTTTGATGGGATTACTTACAAGGCTAAAAAAATACAAAGTAAAGAGGTAAGATTAACAGGTTACCTACAAAGAACACTGTTGTTATGCTTATTGCATGCCCTAATCTTCTTTCATGTTCTGACCTTCTAATAAAACTTCAAAGAGCTCACTATGGTGCTCTGGAATCACTTAACAATAGTGATTAACTCTTTAAATATATTTTCTTATTATTAGTGACTGAGCTGTTTAATACACAGACTCCAGTAGATTACCAAGAAAACACCCTCATTGCAGGCTTTTATCTAATTTGATGTGGAGTAATCAAGGCACAGAAGAGTAATATTGTTTCTCACCTCTGTATTCCATGTAAATAAAGGAAAGAAACATTCAAAAAATAGGGTTCAGATCTGCTTCAGGTTTAATTCTTCGGTCCATTGCTAGTTCAAACACCAGTTTTAATGAACAAAGTTTGAGATTGGTCAATATCTTCACTAGAACACTTAAAGGTTACAAATACAAAGAATTTTGACATTCTGCAGAACTTTTCACCAGGCAAAGATGGTATAAAACATGGGGTTAAGGCAAACAGTTCAAATACCAGGCCAGGTGTAGCACTCTTGGCTCAGGGTTCGACATGACACGAGGTTGCAAAGATATTATTTTGACAGGCAGAAACTTTCTCCCCATTCCGTCACATTTTTGCCCCCCTGCCCTTTTGTTTTTACGTACTTAATCTTTGTCCTGAGGAAAAACACCGATGAATTTGCAAGATTGCTCACTTCTTTATGACCTTTATTTGCAAAAATATTTATTTCTTCTTATGTACCATCAAGTTGCTCCTCACTTACTGCAACCCTGTGGATGGATGACCTGTAAAATGTCCCATCATTAACAGCCGTGCTCGATATTTATACCCCAACATTTATCCTTTGATATACAGAACAGCTTACAAGATATGTACAAATGACAAATCAATACAACCAAATATCAACAAGACACCCACGCAATACAATTAATAAAAAACTTTAACAGTAGTAATCAGTTTCAGTCAGCATAATTCTGAAATATGCATGAGAAAAATCCCTATTGAGCACTGGAAGGCCTATTATAATAGAACAAGACAGATGTTCCAGAAAAAGGTGCTCCACAATATCAGTACATTGGCTTGCCTTCATTGGCTTCCTGTCAGTTTCCATGCTCAATTCAAAGCACTGGTTATGACCTAAGAGCCCTTACGGTTTAGCACAATACTTGATGGAACATCTCCTTCAGAAATCAGTTACTGGCTTCACCTGCTCTAGTGGATATAACTTGCTATGATTTTGGCCAATGCTTTTATATATCTGTTTCAGGAACATATGTGTTGTAAAGGATTAGATTAATAATAATTTATTTTGATAAAGAGCAGATTAATATGGCTATTAAATAAGTAATAATCTACACTCTGGCAAAAGGCAACAAGGAATCAGACCTTTTAAGTGGTAGCCCCCAGTCTTGGGAATAAGCTTCCAATTGAGATACGCCAGGCTCCTTCCCTCCTGATATTTAAGAAACTGGTGAAAACAGAATTGTACAGAATTAAGCAAAAGCTGTTTTCAATAATTTATTCCTCAGACACTCTTAATTAATTTTAATTTTGACATTTTTTGTTGTTTATTCTTTTTGTATGAATTTCAGAATGCATTGACAGCTGTCAAACCTACAGTTCAATGCATTTCAATGGGGGAAACCGCGTTTCGCTTAGCAATGTTTTCCCATAGCGATGTTTTTTTTGGAACCAATTAACATCGCTAAGCGAAACACAATTTCCCATAAGAATGCATTGAAAACTGGATAATCAGTTCCAATGGGAACGGATTACCGTCCTGAAGTGAAAATCGCCATAGGAAACATTGCTAAGCGAAACACCATTTCCCTTAAGAATGCATTGAAAACTGGATAATCAGTTCCAATGGGAACGGATTACCGTCCTGAAGTGAAAATCGCCATAGGAAACATTGCTAAGCGAAACGCGGTTTCCCCCATTGAAATGCATTGAATAGGTTTCAATGCATTTCAATGGGGGAAACCGCGTTTCGCTTAGCAATGTTTTCCCATAGCGATGTTTTTTTTGGAACCAATTAACATCGCTAAGCGAGGCACCACTGTATATGTCCTGAGAGATCTATATGTGGGACAGGAAGCGACAGTTAGAACTGGATATGGAACAACTGATTGGTTCAACATTGGGAAAGGAGTACGACAAGGCTGTATATTGTCTCCGTGCTTATTTAACTTATATGCAGGCTACATCATGCGAAAGGCCGGACTGGAGGAATCCCAAGCCGGAATTAACATTGCAGGAATGCAGATGGTGACAGCAGCCATGAAATTAAAAGATGTCTGCTTCTTGGGAGGAAAGTGATGACAAACCTAGACAGCAGCTTAAAAAGCAGAGACAGCACCTTGCCGACAAAACTGAGTGAGCACTCAGGTTTGATTTCCTTTAGAATGGATAGGTTTGTTGTCCTTGCAGTCCAGGGGACTCTCAAGAGGCTCCTCCAGCACAATTCAAAGGCATCAATTCTTTGGCGGTCAGCTTTCTTTATGGTCCAGCTCTCACTTCCATACAACACTAGAGAAAACCATAGCTTTGACTATTCGGCCTTTTGTTGGCAAGGTGATGTCTCTGCTTTTCAAAATGCATTTGTTTATATAAACCCACAAATAAGTAATAATGTTTCCCAAGGCTCTTTAAAGCAGACTCCTATAAGAAACTTCATGATTTGATCAAGCTGACTCCATAAAAACATACACCAAAAGAAAGGCAAGTCTCTTGCTGCCCCAGTATGGCATAGCAGTGTGAGATTTCTGGTTCACGCCAGGAAACAGTATGTATTGGCAGACATCCCTTCTTTCGCCTTTCTTCCATTCCCCAGTCTGCCTACCTCACAGGTTTGTTGTGAGGTTCCAGTGGTGAAAAGTCATCAAAACAGCAGAATCAGTCTCTTAAACTTGTTAAGAGGAAAGGCAGAATGTGAAAAGTTGCAAATTATCTATGATGGTACATGTTCCAGAAAATTTAATTTTAGCATGGCAAAAGAATATTAGTACAGTACTTGTTGAGATGGCTGGATGTTGTCCAAAAGCAACCAACATGAATTTGACAAACATAAAGTATATTTGGGAGACAGTAATGGCCACTATTTGGGAGGCAGTGGAAGACAGGAGGGCCTGGCCTGCTCTGGTCCATGGGGTCAGGAAGAGTCGGACACGACTTAACAACTAAACAACAACAACACTTGTTTACTATTTCCTGATAAATTAATTTGCTTTTTCAAAGAAAAAAAAGTCCCTCATTTTATTCCCCCTCAGCAAAGTAACACTGAATACTTAACACTTAGTAATACTTAACAAAAGTGTTAACAAAACAGCCCACTACCCTTTCTCCCCATTCTTTCCCAAGTCCATCTCTGGACCTGGGACCTGAGACCCATGACACCACTCCTTTGATTTACCCCCCCCCAACAGAAATTCATTCGCGTGGAAATGCTAGGCTACTTTAACACACACACGCATCACGCCCAACATTTCCCTTCTGCTTCCTGGATGTCCCTTAAGAACCCGTTTAAAATATAGACCTCAGAAGCTAATCAAGGCGGGAATAGGGTTTTAGTCGCAGCCGGCCAATCGAGCAGTCCGTTCTCTGCAGCTGATTGGACGGCTTACGTAAAGCGACGTGGGCATCCGCCTATCGGAGTGTGGAACGCCAACGAAGCCGCTGGGAGATTGGAAGAGCGCTGAATTTGAATTGGGCGAGGAAGTTGGAGAGGCCTTTTTTTTTCCTCCGATGTCGCGTGAATGGGCACAACCAATGCCTCCCTTTAGGTGGGGGAGCACAGAACAAACCAAGGCAACGGGTGAGATGGGAGGCGTGAGAAGCTGAGGCGAGGCACGAAAATGGAGGGGCGGGCGGTTCCTCCCGGGAGCCCCTTCCGAGGAACGTGCGAGGACGGCGACAGCTCCATGGACCGAAGACTGAGGCGGAGTAGCCGCCATTTCGCCTCCGCCATGAGCAGCATCGTGGAGAAGGTGAGCCCCGGGTGGGACCGAGCAGGGAGGGCCGGGGAGGGGTTACAAGGCCTCAATTTAGGCCCCCGAAGGAAGCGCCTGGCCTTGTCTTCCTTTTTTCGGGGTCTCCCGTGGCTTTGACCACCTCACAGGTTATATTCCTCCTTGGCCCGCTTCCTTCGTGGAGGCTCCCGGTGCCTTTTGCTTAAGAGGAAACCGGAGTTTCCTCTGACTGAGGCATTCAGGGACGGCGAAATCTCTGGCTGCTGAAGGCGGTCTTTATAGGCATCTTTCCGTCCTGACTGGAAGGGGAGAGGGTTGCATTAGCGGTGCTGTTGAGCGCCTGCGTTTTGCGACCTTCAGGTTTAATTGCACAGAGAATTATATTTTCTGAAGGTCCCGTGAACATTTGTATAAATCATATCATTACTACCCCTAGGGATGGAGCTGCGAAGTATTAGTAAGGGCTAGAGATCGGGGCTTGGAAAGGGCATCATCCATCCTGCCTGGATGGGTGTTGCCAGGCGGATTTCATAATGCTGGGCTAGACAGATCCATGGTCTGACTCAGTGGAAGGCATTTTTTTTGTTTTGTTTCTAGGAGGGGTGCTCCATTAGAATTGGACACCTTTTTGGGGAATACCTGTGGAAATCCTGAGAGTGATATAAGTGTCTGTTCACTTTTTTCTTTCTTTTGCTGGGGAGGAGTCGGTCTTTGCCTGTATCCTGAAACACAAGTTGGTAGCTTCAGAATTCTGCCATATCAACTTCTCAAAGTTTTAGAAAAGATTGTCATGTACAGTTGTCAGTTGCAAGTGGCCAGCTTACACATGTATATATTCTGACAATACTATTCCAAAGGAAATGGCGGTATAAGCCATAGATAGCAATACATTATGAAGTTGAGCAGTGCCCTTTCCAGATCATTAGAAAGTTACAAATAAGATGACCTTTCATTCTAAAAATGTATGCTTGTGAGATTGTCATGAATGAAAGGTAGCAGAGGACAGTGTCTTCAGAATACATAACTAATGGGAGAGTATTTTTCATCAGCCACTGTTTGTCTTATAGTTAAAAGAATGTGCAAGTGAGTGGGGAAGTCTGAAGAAAATAGCATGCTGATTTATATAGTACCACCCTCAGTACTTTTACCAGATCTGATGAATGCTGCCAGTGCAGCTGTAAATAAAATAATTGACAATTCCAGTCACAGCTCTCCTGAGTAACATATTGTTTGGTTCTGGGTAATGCAGACCATTACTATGTGGGACAGGAAAACAACTTTCAAATTGGACATGCCCTTGTTCTGATTAAATTCCTATAGATTAGCATCTTGAAGTTTTAATCTCAGTGTAATCAACATTTCATACTGCCTCTGAATGATTTCTTTGTATTTGAAGTTGTTGCAATAAGCTATTTTGTAATAATGGTCTGCCTCTGTCTCTTTTTGAAACTAGTATAATTTTCCTTTTGATGATGATCTGATTGTCTCTATCAAGTCACTGACATACAATACATCTGATGGTACGTTCTCTTTAGCAATATATTATATTTTAATTTTCATTTGGTTTTGCAAAGCATAAATGTTATGAAAAATATGTGAGTAGTGTGGCTGAATGGAATTCACTTGTTCAAGTGAAAGTCCACCAAATCTTCTTAAATTACAGACTTAATGTTAACCTTGCAACTTGCTTTGTAGCACTATTCTAACATTACATTGTGTATAAAACCTTCCTTTCTATGACATTTGGGAAAAGATCCTAGCTGAGGCATTGAAAAGAAAGGAACGGTAGTAGTATTTCAGTTATTGTACTGTATATAGAAATACATTAAAATCTTCAATAATTTGTTCTTACACAAGCAGAAGTTGACACAGAAAACATACAAGATGCATTTGAAAGGGATACTATATTGCAGTCTTTTTATGGTTATTCCATTGTTATGTACTTAAGTTGTAATATTTTCTAGGCACAACTAACAGAGTGGGTTGTGCTTTGCACATTTGCATAGAACTCTTTCTGAAATGTTTATGTACAAGGCAAATAGAATTAAATCTTCACATAATTAAAAGAGTGAAACTAGGCAAATAGAGGTGAAAATACATATCTCATTTTCTGTTTTTCCTTCTGGCACAGTGTTGTAATATATTATCTTCCACTTCTGTCTTAGGTCATGGTGGAAAATGTTCTTGTGGATTTTGGAGAGACTTCTCCATGTCTTTCTCGGTATTGCTGCTTTGGGAACACTCCATTCTTAAGAGTGGCCTAAAAGTGATTTTAATACCATATCAATATGAACTTGTTTTTGTTGGTCAGGATGTAAAAGGTCAAGTGGAAAGTGTTTACAGCCCTGTAAGTTAAAAGATTGAGCCAGGTTCTAAAACTTAGGATCCAGTGTAGTCCCTATCAGAAAATGTAAACCTAATGGGTGGGTTGCTAAATCCATTTTAGATAGGAAGTTGCTATCTGATTCTGTCTCGGTTATGTTCAGATACTACACCACTTTCCTGGTTCAGCTGTGACGATCCATTAATTAGAGGCCTTAGAAGTTTCCTGTACAAGAATCATCTTTGTCACATAACTATGCTCAACCTTCTCTCCAGACTCAGTCTATATGTATATTATTTGCTAACTGAAATCCGGTACTAAGTTGCAACTAGAGTAGGCCCATCAAATTGGTGGGGATTTGGTAAAGCCTAATTTGGGCCTACTTTAGTTGCAATTTACTTCAGGCATTGCATCTGAAATGCCACCTTTATTAGAAAAACAAGAAGACAAACAGGTTAGCAAACCACTGCAGCTAGAAGTGAAATGACTGCTTTTGTTTTGTGAAAGGAGAAGAGTTGAATTAGGACTATTGTGTTTCTTTATTGATAAGTATTGGGAAACGAGACTGCTCTTTATTATTTTATTCAGTTATCAGTGAGTGAGTTCAGTAGTATTAGTGAACAGATTCAGCACCTACCTTAACGATGTTCCTGATTTACCACTTGTGTCTTCCCATATTAGTATCATATAAGACAACAACCTATATATGTTGTAATACCATACATGTCTAACAAAATTTTATGCAGGTGACATTTCAGTAACAATCTTGTATAATTTCTAGGGCCAAGGGCTTGGGGAGAAGAATCAAGCACTGAATGTACAGATACATCATACCAGGTGTTAAAAATACATAATATTGTGAATGCTTTCCTTTGTTTTCATTTGTTGGGTAATATTACTTCTTCCAAGTTCAAAATCTAGAAATATTTTGGGAGGTTACAAACATAGTCATACTTTTGAATAATGCTTCATGGCAACTTAGATTGAAGCACTGTTGCTGAAACAGTTCATTCATTAACCCTTCTACAAACCTTTTGAGGGTTTATACCTTGTAAAACCTTGGGTGCCCTTATCAGGAGAAAAGTGGCTTATTAAAGAAAAGAGAGAGCTAGAGAGATGAGTAGAAGGACATGGCTATAATTCAATTTTTCTGTTATTACATCTAGACAAATAAAAACAAACAACAAAATGACTGATTAAAATTACCCAACACATTGTTGATAGCCTATTATGTGCCCAGGATGACGTGTTTATTACTAAGTCTTGGCTTTAGTAACTCCATTCTCTTTGTCTATTGGGATGATATTTGTATAAGCAGGACTTGGAAAGGCAGTTTACTAAGGAGTCATAGACAGCTTACTCCCTCAGTCCAGTCCAATTTCTTTGTTGCGCCCAGTTTTAGTAAGCTCACCCCTACAGAAGGACTTCCTTCCTTTCTTGATTTGCTTGGCAAGTTAATATTTACCTGTTCTTTGGGAGCAGAAAAGAAGACTAAACACAAGAAACAAGGCAATTATTCTGTCTCTGCAACTATTAATCTTCTGTTCCTCATCTTTAGCCATTCATAAGGAGAAGAGAAAGATGAGGAAGGTTAAGTCTCATGATTGCACTTCTGTCCTGTTGCTTGTCCAACTCAACATGTAATTTGTTTCATTGTGTGGAAGCCCCAGGACAGGAAGAGCAAGTCTTTAATTACCGCAAATCTTTCCTGCAAGTGGCATTATCATGCTTCTGTGGGTGTAACATATGCACTATGCTTTTATAAGTCTGTTGATATGTATTGTAAAAGATAAGATTAATGTCATGGATGGACAGATTTCTCTGGATAAATAAATTAGTATTTAATTATCTAGTATTTATAAATACTAAATAAATTATTATTTATTCACTGACATAAGTAATAATCCATGTTGCTAAAAATGGGCATATTGAGAACAGGCTAAAAAGCTGACAGCAAGGAATTGGGCCTTCTTGATGGTGACCCCCAATCTTTGTAATAAGCATTGACTTGAGGTACGCCAGGCTTCTTTACCCCTGACATCAAGGAAATTAGTGAAAACAGAATTATACAAATCAGCTTTCACTAACTTATTCCCCCACATGCTGTTAATTAATTTAAATTTTTCCTTTTTTATTTTCCTTTTTTCTTTTTGTGTGACTTTCAGATCTATATCAGTGAACTACCTTGTTGATTGTATTATTATATGAAGTTATGCAAGGTTCTTGTAAACTACCCAGAGTAGTGTTTCCACTAAAGGGGTGGTAAATAAATAAGGACTATGGTTTGAGAAAAAAATAGAAATACTTTTTCTTCATAAAATAACATAGTCTGGTTTCTTTGGCTGTAAGTATATTTGTAATCCAAATTTATCTAATCTAGTATTTGGTGTTTTGTTTGTTTGTTTGATTCCTAAAAGTCATTTGAGGAAGAACAATTCACAGACTCCTTGGGAACTAATCAGCTTGATGCAGGTAAAGAAGCACAAAACAAAATATGCAACTCAAGAGGTCTGTAGCATTGATCTTCGCAGTTTTGGCAATGGGTGTGGTATGAGGGGCAGATCAAATCCAGGTTTAAGTTATTAAACTGGTCTTATCAATAAATCTAGATGGAATGCAACTTCTCCCTCTTTCTCCGCACCCCCCATAATTTATACCTCCCCAAGCTTCCTTCCATTATCGTATAAAGTCTTCAAACATGTATTTTTGACAGAATTACTGTGTACCACATGCCAGCTTATAATGTAGTGGCATATAAAAATGTAACTGGAAAATCTTACTTCTCTTTTCCTTTCACATATTCCATTTTTATTGATTAAACAACTCTTGAGAAGTCTTCTTGTTTAGATGAGATAGTTAGGTAGTGGCACTCATAGGGCTAGACCGAGGGAGTTTTCTAGGGTCAACAACTCAGGTGCCATATCAGACACCTCTCCCCATCATTTGTCCAGTTCTCACATGTTGGCATATTATAGCCCCTTCTTTGCTCATTATTGTTATTTAAATTACAGTGGTGCCCCACAAGATGGGTGCTCAGTTTGACGGCTCCGTTTGACGACGAAATTGCTTGACATTGATATTTTTGCGATCACAAAACGATGTTCCCTATGGGGGAATTTCGCTTTATTTATTTATTTTATTTATATCCCGCCTATCTGGTCGGTTAAGACCACTCTAGGTGGCTAACAGCGGTTCCTGCTTTGGGAACCGATCATCACAAAGTGATGATTTTTTAACAGCTGATTGGTGGTTTCAAAATGGCTGCCAGGTAAACAAAATGGCCGCCCACTGTGTTTTCGCACGGATTCCTTGCTGCACAGGCAGCGAAAATGGCTGTGCTATGGAGGATCTTCGCTGGACGGTGAGTTTGAAGCCCCTAGGAACGCATTAATCTGGTTTTAATGTGTTTCTATGGGCTTTTTAAAATCGCATAACGATGTTTTCATTCTACAGCGATTTCGCTGGAACGAATTAACGTCATGGAGGCACCACTGTATCTTAAATCTAGCTTCTGACCCGCTGGAACGAATTAACGTTGTCATGTGAGACACCAGTGTATCTTAAATCTAGCTTCTGACTGAATAGAACATGACTGGCCCTTATTTTGCTGACTCAAAGAACAAAATGATATACTTGGCATCCTTTATTTTTTTAAAGCGTTATCTCAGAGCTTTTCTGCATGTTATATAATCATGACAGCTACCCTCCACAAGCATTTTTAGATCTTCTTTTAGAGAAGAAGGAGCTGTAGTGCTAATTCTAACATAAGTCTTGTTAAACAAGTTACTTGCTTTTCATCCACATAAGAGGTTCACTTCATGCAAGTACTGGTGTGATTTTATATGTGCCAAATAAACAAATAGAGAGAGAATTGTGTTACATAAAAAGCATTACCTTGGGTTCTTTTAGAGGGCTGTTTTGCCATAAAAGTAAAATTGCTAATAAAAATATCAGGAACAGTCTTACATAAGAAATGACTGGCATCTGTTGGTGTTAGTTATTCAGATTGAAATATATTTTAACTTTGAATTGCAGATCACAAAAGCAGTGCTAAGTTGGCTTCTATTAAAAGACATTTGGAAAATATACATATCAAGGTAATACTTCAGCATACTTGTGTATTTGGCTCCCACAGCTTGAGCATTTGAGAATGTAGGATGTATCTGGTAGGACATTAAATGTATGAAGGTCTTTATTGTTTGAGGGGGACATGCAGGCAGAGTCTGCATGCTTGTATGTGACATTACCATCTGTCACACAACCCCAGCTTTCTGTTTTCCCTAACAGACAGATTTGCCTTCGTGTATGACTGTTCCTTTTCTCCCTAATTACGCTACTACCAGAGGATTACTTCCTTAGTTACCAATTATGAACACAGAATCACTGATGTCAAATATAACAATGTTTATTTAAAGATTAACAGGTGAAACACACAAAGATAATCATGGACGGTATTGTAGTTGCAATTCATTAAACTTCTTTTGCTTTACACATATGTTGGTTCATTTATATTCATTTTCAAGTACGGTGTAACTGTTTATTTAATTCTTATAACTTTCACTTCTTTCAGTTCTGTCACATATTAACTTTCCAAGTATTGTCTTTTAAATCCTATCTTCCCTGTCTGTCTATCCCTCTATATATCCCTATCTTTCTTCTCTTTTACTCTTCCCCTGTCCCTCCTTCTTCTCTCTAACTCTTCCCCTGTCCCAGCTTTTCCTAACTGTCCACCCTAACTAATTCCAACTGTCCTCCTTTTTCCCCCCTCCTCCACCCTAACTGATTCCAACTGTCCTCCTTTCTTTTCCCCTCCTCCTTGGTTCCGTCCTCCTGTCCTATCATTGGCTCCCACATCAGGGTTCTAACGTGATGGACAGGCGTGACATTTGGACTGTCCGTCACACCATCCATTTAAACCTCTCCATAGTGTTAGGCATAGCACTTGAATAAGGCGTTAGCTCTTTCAGTTTGCATCCCACTGAAAACAGTGTAAAAAGTTAATCACGTCTAAGTAAAGTCTCATTGATTCAATGGGAGCTGTGCACAACTAACTTCATCTGCATTTAGTCTTTATTTGCTACAAATAGCTAAATTTATTTCACTTTAATTTTCTTTGTTTAATAAAAGGAGAATATTCCTCTTATATGCTATTCTGAGACACCAGTGAAGAATAAATACAGAGTTCAAATGGACATGTTGTTGGATGATGGTACCAACTCTGTTCCTGAAGTGCTTACGGTAACACAACTGTTCAGTGATGCTATTAAATTCTCTTCTAACAGCTACTCACACTTGTCCAGATTTTTGTGTGTTTATTGCACAGTTTCAGTCTATATACCCCCAGTATATAGATTCTCACCTATTTATTTATTTATTTAGATGGTGTGCTAGCTGTGTATGCATTTGAAACGACTGCTCAAACCATGTCCCTTTGTTATAATAAGGATGGCCACAGGAGCTCCTCAGGAGGAATTCCAATTACTACAATGAATTCATGAAATCCAGTTTGATTCATCCCCAAACAGTTTAAATCAAACAATTTGGTTTGATTTAAATGGGAATGCCATTCACTAATACTTAAGTCTTAGCATATTAGCTAAGAACTATACTATTTTAACACTCATCCAATTGAATATGAAGTTATATAAATAGGATATGTATTTCAAATTAAATTAAACTTCTTCATGAGTGAATGCTAATGTTTTCCTGCAGTTATTTACAGTGTTTTGTTTGGGGATTTGGGCTTAGATTACAGGAACAAGAGCAAGAAATGCTCACCAGTGGTCTCCTTTGCAAGAGTTAGATGATAATTCCTCAATACGTGAGTATAACAAGTCACAGATGTTTTGCTAAGAAGTACAGTGGAATAGGACTTAAGTACTGGGACAGAATCTGGTATTCCTTGGTTCTCAGTTCAGCCTTCTGGGTTTCCCCAAAGGTCATACCCCCATCCACATAATTCCACCATTAGTGGTTTTCCAACTTTTGTATAGGATTTTTCTGGTTCTCATTGGACTGGTTCTCCTGTAGCTTAATTAGTGATAGTAAAACCTTTCAGCTAACATATGCCAGTATTTTTGGTCCCACCAGTTTCTTTATGAACTCACTAACATTTGCACCTGAGAGCATTTCTGTAATTGAATAAGGTCTTGAACTGAAAGAGGTACTCCAGCTTTGCCCCTAGAGCAGTGATGGCGAACCTATGAGAAAAATGAGATTTCTAATAACGTTTAATTTTTAGAACAATTGGGATGAAGATTTCAAACTACTACTTCCTTTGTAGCTTCATATGCTTTATTTTAATGTCTCCATAGTTTGATTTTGTAAGTTATTAGATAACTGGAACAAAATGCTTTTGAATATCTATAAATAGTTTGTCTGATTCAGAAACTCTGTGTTTTTGTGCACATATATACATAACATGCTTAAGCTGAGTTTCTTCGTCACTGGAGAAGGTTTTAACCTTTCATGTTAATTACCTGTGTGGGGATGCATTTAGCATCAAAATGAATGGAAAAGTAGACAAGTGTCGGAGTTACTTTTGCCTCACTGGACTATGCTGAAGTTTTTGGATTAGAACAAAGATATTTTAGAAAATGTTAAACTATTAAATAATATCAGGTATTTGCTTTCTTACTGTAAGGTGAAATTTATGTTAACGCTGCTAAATTTTATCCAGATATAATCAAGAAAGTGGCCTCTTGAAACAGAAAATATCTTGTTTCACAAATGAGAACCTAAGTAACCAAAAAACAGATAATAGTTACTGCTTTCTCATTTCAGTTAATGTTATTAATAATATAGTAAAAATATGAAGTGCAAAATACTATATGTCCCTTTTATTTGGCCTAGGAGGTGATCCCGATGTCCTTGGGAAACGAGTGCCATCTACAAATGAACCACCAACTACACTTTCTCTGCAGTTACCCATCTCTGTAGCATCAAATTCAGCCAGTGTTGAATTGGAAAGCAGCGCTCTTTGGGGTGGCAATGAAAATGGCTTCAGTAGTTTTCTGGAAATGTATGAGTCTGCAGATGAGCATTGTTCTTGGAATAATGTCACAATAGCAGACTTGTATCCAGGGATGGTGAAGGCACTTAGTAAACTGTTGCACAAAGCCTCTTCCAGTTCATTAATCAAACGGTACAAATATGGGTATTGGCATCCAAAAAAAACAAAGCTTAATACTACTACAGAGAGAATAAGGAAGTATAGACTTTTAAAATCAAAGTCTAGCTTGACAACTAAAAAAGAGGATCAGAAGAGGCATAAATTGCCCTTGTTAGTGGATGGAAGTAGTAGTGCTTTTGATAATGGCAAGCATCAGTGTTCAGCGAACAATATAACTAGAACACTATCTTCCATATGCTGTATTCCAGATAGCATGGAAATAGACTCTTGTGGCATGGCAGAAGATACTTCATACACTGAGAAAGTCAGACAAGGTGGTATGAAAACCACCATTATTCCTAGTGGCGTTTCTACAGGAGAAACTTTTCTGGTCCAAACCCCAATGTGCATTTGTTTACCTACAGACTTTGTAAGAAAGGGTCAGACTTCTGAAAAGTGCTGTCCTACAGATTGCACTATGGATTCAGAAAAATGTAATGTAACAACAGAAGACAATCCTGAGGAAATAAGCACTATGACATTCAATACTACGTCACGTTCAAGCTTGTCCTTGAATAGTAGCACGAAATCTTATTTGCAAAAGAACGAGTCTTCTCCAGTTAAAATGTCAATTAGATTACTGGGAAATTCAGAAATTAAAATGCTCAGTGCAGCTGTTTCACTTCAGCGAAGACATTCATTTTCATCCCTTCCAGTCAATCGAAGACCTGCCAATGTTCACCAGAGTTGTGAAGATGCATTTGAAAAAATGTATAAGGAATTGTGTTCTCCAAAGTTGCAGAAATCATTTAAGTTTTCAAATATTTGCAAAAGCCCTAGGAAGTCTGCAGAACTGCACACATCTGGTTTTAGCACATCTTCAAAATTTAATGAGAGACCTAATGATGCATTTGAAAGTATATACCAAAAATTGTGTTCCGAAGGATTTCCAAAAATCCCTATATTTCTAAGAGCAGCAAACCTAAAAAAGAAATATGAGGGAGTACATATGTCTGAAACTGTAAATGCCTTAGTTAATTCTCCTTTAAGAACTGTACCTGCAGTTGCCAGAACTAAAAGAGCAGCAAACTTCAGCAAGGAAGACTTTCAGCCTTCACCCATAAAAAGATTGAAAAATATACCTGAGAACTCTTACAGAATATGTCAGAAAATGCCTTCCTGGAAAAGCATAAACCTTCAGAAAACAGATAAGACTTTCACATCGTACACTCCTAACATAAATAATTGGCCCTCAGATGTGGTAAGTAAATGAGTGGCTTGTGTAAAAAGTATTTCAGCCTGTAATTTTTTTAAGTAGTTGATAGTATCCTTCAACAACATGACATGAATTAACAAGGTTAGTTCTATGCAAACCTACCTGGAAATAAGTTTGACTAAACCCAGTGGGTCTTCTTTCCAAGTAAACTTAACTTCTAAACAGTCATGGTATTGGGCTAGAAGACTTTCTAATTGGCATGCCAGTTAATGTTTGTTTCCATTGCTTTCCCCCCCATATTTGTGAAAACAAATACTGTAGAACAGTATAAGTATTTGGTTAGCAGTACTTGAACGAAGAATTTGACTTGCAGCCAGGAATCTGGACAGAATTTAGCAGCATGTATAGTAGAAAGAAAAAAGAAATAGTTGTTTTCATTTAATGTATGTATTTCCCAATCTTCTGGAAGATCTATATATGTATTTACTGCAACTCTAAAGCAAATGCAGTTTCAGAAAAAGGGAATAAGAGTTTGTTGACAATGAAAATCCTCAGAGATAGTAATACATATTGTAAAACTGCATCTTTTAATGTGTGAATATTTAATTTTCAGAATTCTGGGTTTTCTTTTTCCTCAAGCAACAACTTTCTGACTGCTTCAAGAACTGACATGAAAGGTAGGGCTCTACCTTTTAAGCTGAAATTCTGTTTAAGTAATAAATTTGGAAGGGTGACATTGTCACTGGCAGGGGCGATGCAAGACTTTTTCCTTCTTACAGCTTGTCCACCTTCTTGTCCAGTTTTTAACTGCTGAAAATTACCCCCTGCCAATACCCTCACCTGGTGGTGGAGATTTTTGGTAATTAAAGATTTCATCTATCCTATGGCTTCCATGTAATTAAACAGAGTACTTATGAATCAGACAAATCAAGACAAAGAAAAAAGATCTTTTAAACCACTGAAAATTGCCCCCTGCTAGTATGATTTTTCATGATGCTCGTAATATAAGCCCTACCCCAAAAATAAGCCCCAGAAGTGAAACCCCACCCTCCACCATTGTGCAACAACCAGAAGATGATATGACTGTTTTTTAATAAATGTAGATTGTTGTACTTGAAAAAAAGAAAACATCCCCTGAAAATAAGCCCTGATGTTTTTTGGAGCAAAAAGTAATACAGTATAAGACCTTGGGGAAACACAGTGTCTTGACTTAATAAACTGATAACATAGTTCAGATGTGTCATTTTAGCAATTGATCCCCCAGGTCAATTATTTTCCATCTTAGTTCTTCACATAAAAACTAGGCTTTAAATACCCGGGCAGCCATGGATGCAGGTTTAAAAGTGATTAGTTATAGACCTGAATACTTTCATTTCTTCTTAATGCTTCTTTAAAGGATACATTGGGCTGTAGCTAGCAATTTCAGGTGGTACGGCAAGAAACATCACCTATCTCACTGCACCTGAGGCCCCTTCCCTTTATTTGGGAAGAATGAGGCTATCCCACAATGTGGCATCTCCTTCTTGGGTATTAGATTCATATGCAACAACTGCACAAGTCTTTATTGTCTGATAATGATGTCCTTTTCCTGCCTCCCCATTTATTTATTTATTTATTTATTTATTGAAAGTGTAAACTTTCTCGTTTGACGCAATGCTGTTGTAGCTTTGTCTTAAACAAGGAAAGAACTCAGACACTAGAACTGAATAGTTTTGGAAGATGTAGTTTGTTTTTCTGGCACTCTAGTAAACTCACCTCTAAATTTGGCACCCTCTAGATTTTGGTCCCTTGGGGTAAAGCCCCAATTGCCCTGCCATAGTTACAGTTCTGAGGGATTTTGTTGCTTAGTTGTTAAGTCGTGTCTGACTCTTCGTGACCCCATAGACCAGAGCACGCCTGGCCCTCCTGTCTTCCACTGCCTCCCGAAGTTTGGTCAGATTCATGTTGGTAGTTTTGATGACACTGTCCAACCATCTCATCCTCGGTCGTCCCCTTCTCCTCTTGCCTTCACACTTGCCCAACATCAGGGTCTTTTCCAGGGAGTCTTCTCTTCTCATGAGTTCTTGAGGATACACAATTTTTATTTTAAATAATTTTAATTTATTTTTACTTAATCACCCTTTCATGTGCAGATTATTCGTGTTTTTTGTATTGTGTCCTCTGTGAGGTAGTCCAGTTCTTTTTGCGTCCAAAGTTCTTAAAATGATATACAGCATATTTGTCATATCTAATCTCTCCACAGAATCCAGGATTGCAGATGTAGATGACAATTGTTTATATAGTTGTATCTCTCTAGGAAAATCACAAAACTACAACAAAGTAAGTGGCACTTGAATTCTCTCTGAATTTCCCTTTATTATCTTTCTCTGTGGAATTGTATGGGGGAAGAGAAAACAATTTTCATGGATCCCTATTAGCTACAATGATGACATGTTTATTAGGACTATCAATTTTGTCTTCACTGGGACTTAATGCTGAGGCTTGTTTTAAAATGTTTTTGACACAAATGGGTAGGGGGTCATTTTTTTCATTTTATGTTCATTGAATTTCATGTGACTTACTGGAACTTTATTATTTAAAAAATAGAGCAGTCCAACAGTTGAGGATTAAACCAGTCTTTGCAGTGCCAGATTTTAAGTGATGAGAGAGCCTGGCCTGAGGGAAGAGAACATAGGCCATCTGTGGAGGCCTGGTGGGCTGTACGTTCCCCATTGCTGCCCCACAGAGTTTGACATAATTCCTTTTAGAATTCACAGAAGCAAACATGTGGCTTAGGTATCTGGCTGTAGAGTCAGAAGTTGGAAGTTCAGTTCCCCAGTTTGCTTTCTTGACAGGGCTGGGCTTAGTGATTCATAGGGTCCCTTTCAGACATAGGCCATCTGTGGAGGCCTGGTGGGCTGTACGTTCCCCATTGCTGCCCCACAGAGTTTGACATAATTCCTTTTAGAATTCACAGAAGCAAACATGTGGCTTAGGTATCTGGCTGTAGAGTCAGAAGTTGGAAGTTCAGTTCCCCAGTTTGCTTTCTTGACAGCGCTGGGCTTAGTGATTCATAGGGTCCCTTCCAGCTCTACAGTGGTGCCTCGCTTAACGGGTGCTCCGTTTAGCGACGAAACCGCATACCGATTAACTTTTTGTGATTGCAAAAGTGATCGCTTTGCGATGTTACCTATGGGATTTTTTTGCTTTGCGATGATCGGTTCGCTGTTTCGCTTACCAATCATCGCAAAGCGATGATTTTTAACAGCTGATCGGCGGTTCCAAAATGGCCACTGGGTAAACAAAACGTCCGCCCGCTATATTTTTGTGCTGATTCCTCGCTTTAGAGGCAGCAAAAATGGCTGCCGTATAGAAGATCTTCGCTTTAAGGTGAGTTTTTAGCCCATAGGAATGCATTAAATAGGTTTTAATGTGTTTCTGTGGGCTTTTTAAAATTGCATATCGACAAAATCGCTTTGCAGCGATTTTTACTGCACGGATTAATGTCGCTATGCGAGGCACCACTGTATAGTATTTGACATAATATATGGAAGTGGTCAGATGATACTATCCATGCAATTCACATCCCTCTCTCTCTCTCTCTCTCTCTCTCTCTCTCTCTCTCTCTCTCTCTCTGAATTTGGTGTCTCTGGGTGCTGGGGGGGGGTTATAAGATTTTAAAGTCAAAACTGAATTGACAAACTGATTTGTCAATTAACAATTTTTCTGAAGAATTGACAAATTGATTTTTTTATCAGAAAAATTGTTCATTTCTGATTTATCAACCTTGAAATCAAATCAGCATTTTTTTTCTGAGTCATGCCCATCTCTACTTAAGACAGATGTTGCTTTGCCTTATTCCAAATTAATTCAGAAAGGAATGTGCAGTTACGTTTCATAATATTACATGAACGTGTAAATATGTTCTGCATCATACAAAATCATGCTGATGAGTTTAGACAAGGTTAGAACTTGTTGCCTGCCCAAAAGCACGTGTTTCTGGAAAAAGCTAATGGGAAGATACAAATATTGGCAAGAAAGAGTAATACTTTCTCCGTCTGCCTCAGTGTTGTTGTTTTTTGTAAGGAAAATGACTGCCAGCATGTTTGTTTGTAAGCTGAGGAAGTGTTCAAACAGCAGAAAGTCAGATAACTTGTGTATATGATTAAAGAATTACTAAAGAGCTACTTTATGTAGATAAAGTACTTCATCCTTTGACAGACAGATAAAAACAGCTTCTAGATATGGTCAATGCTGTCCATTGCTGCTAAAATTGTGCCATTACTAAGAGACAAAGCTCCTGTAATCAATTACATGACAGAGTGGTATGATATACCAGATGGGTGGGATATAAATCAAATAAATAAATAAAATAAATAAATGTAGCAGTCTTTTGCTCCAGCTCCAGCTGTTAAAGAGGTCTGGGATTATAATTTTACATCTTGTTGAATCAGTAATGGTTTAACATTAGTCATGTTTATGTTACACTTGTATGTTTATTGTACTTTGATACATAATGCATTTTCTGTATGGAGATCTTTCCAGTGCTGCACTGATGTGTTAATTACGTATAGAGCTGGAGAATCTTAGTGAAAGATGATTGTTTTGGGGGGCTTTCCTTTGAGGGAGTAAAAAAAGTCTTCGTCTTCAGATGAAAAATATTGTTTGTTGACAATGCAGTTTTAGATGCTTGCATTCCACTCAAAATTGTGATTTCAACGGTTTCCAATATTTATTTCTTACAGATAAGGTTCTCTTTTCTTTTCCAGGACTTCCAGAAATCTCAGCTATAATGATGGGAGAGCAAGAAACAAAAATGATAGTATGGAAGAACTTGTGTGCAAAAGCAGTAAAGAATCATTCTTGAAAGGATATGGAGAAATACATGATTTTTAAGGGGAAAGGTGATTTTACCATGAATGGACATGGGAAAATAATTTTCATCAACTCCCATTACTGCTGCAACCCACCAAATCCACAAGGGGTGCCAGATGGGTGAATTTGGCCCTTCAAATTGTTGGACTATTGGCTGTTACAGCTAGAGATGATGGGATCTGCAGTCCAGCAATGTTTGGAAAGAGCCACCTTCTCCACACTTCTACTTTAAGTATACAAGAAGCTCAGAGGGAAAGGAATGCTGAGAGCACTCTGTTCTGTGAACAGAAACTCATGCTCACATGACTTTAGATGTAGCCAAACACATTGTATGTATGCTTTGTCATTTGAGAATTGCATATTCTACCAGCAGCTGAGTAAGAACCATGACTAGAATCCAAGCAGTTTTGTTTGTTTGTTTTTTCTTCCTGGCATAAGATACATTTGACTTATTAAGAGAGACTGCTGGTTCTTCCTGAAAGCTCATTAAGCTTAAACTTCTCTTATTGGGAACAAATATCTTTATGGTGATTGACTGTATATAATTTCTGTTATTTCTAATGTATATTGCTTGGCCAGTCAAGATCTGTTCTCAATACATAATTTTCTAAGCAATTCAAATGCATTTAATACTACTTGGTACTTAGTGAGTTTCAGCTTTTGGAATCAGCGGAGCATTATATCTTTGAAGAGTTTGAAATATCTATTTTGTTTATTTCAGATTTGATTTTAATATGTTAAATGTGTGTCCATGTAGTAGTTGACATTTGTATATCATTACTGCCTAATAAACCTGTATAACTTGTAGTGGTTTGTATGTTTAATTGAGAGTTTTAAAATTATTATAAAATTAGTCAGCTAGTGGAATATATCTGGGAGTTTTCTATTTGACAATAATAACTGAAGTGCTAAGTTAATTGACTGTGCTCTCCATTACTGGTTTTTCAACTTTGTGGCTATTTCTCAACACTTGCTTTCTTAGCTTCTTGCCTGGAAAAGTGGATAGGTTAATGAGAAAAGCTGGTGGGGGAGCTATTTTACAAAGACCAAAATCCTTTTACCTAGTTTGGCAAGTCATACTAGAATAAGCTCATTGAATCAATGAGAATTTGGTGAGTCAACTCCTCCATATGTTCTGTTGATTCAAATGGGTATACTCTAATGGTGGCTTACTTTAGCATAGTAAGTCACAGAGTAGGCCCATTTGTATCAATGGAACTTACAGAGGAGTTGATACATCAAAACACCTTTGATTCAATAGGTCTACCCTAGTGCATTTGCCACACTAAGCAATAGGATATTGTCCTATATGAGTAGTAACTTGTATGTGAAGGTGTAAACTGCATCAACTTACAGAGGAGTTGATACATCAAAACACCATTGATTCAGTAGGTCTACCCTATTACATTTGCCACACTAAGCAATAGGATGTTGTCCTATGAGTAGTAACGTGTATGTGAAGGTGTAGACTGCATCAGTCAAGATGTACCAGGGACACTGCATTCTGTCAGAGATAGTTGCTGTATACAATTTGAGGGTACCAGGGACACTGCATTCTGTCAGAGACAGTTGCTGTATACAATTTGAGGGTAGGTAGTTGCATTGGAAATGGCTTACTCATCTGAAAGAAAAAAAAATCTTAAGTAAAACTTGAAGTTAGTACATCATTGTCTACTTTGGGCTTAACCTTTCAAGCAGTGTATTAGCTAAGAACTTCATTAAATTCATAGTGCCCTAAAATGATTGCTAAATATCAATGTGTAAAATCTAAATCAATGGGTATGATATGTTTCATATAAGATTGGTAGCATCTCTTTATAATAAAATCACTAAACTCATGCTGTGGAGGCCTTTGTAAAAAGTGTTGAATGCTGTTAAGTGCCATCTAGTCCTGGAGTGCTAGTTCTTGAATCATTAATTGCATAAGAACTATGGTGGGATAAATAAAGATAACTACTGTATATCACCTCAGTGGTTTACCTCCAGATACAGTATCCTACCGTTCTAACTTCTGACTGAAATAAATCTCCAGTCAGTAACTGGGAAATACAGTATATTTGTTTCCTTTGGCTATATTACTAATTTAAAAAGAAAATTTGCACCAAAACCCTCATTACAAATCTTAGCTCAGGTGCAGACAGAAGACAGTATGTGTGTGGAAACCCTTCAAAAGTCTTGTATTTCTTGAGGGGGGCAGACTGAGCAGCAAGAGCAGCTGGGATATTTCGGGGCTCCGAGAAAACCCTCCTGGAATACAGCGGATCGGGACTCCCTCAACTAGAGAAGGGTAGGAAGGTGCAGGAGAGCACCTCCTGTATCGGTAAGGTTCAAGGAAGCACCTGGGAATGGACTACAATCTGACCCATGGGATGATTCCTCTCCCTAGACAGGAGGTTGCCTGTTGCCATTTTGGGTGAACTAGCTGCATTGAGAAATATCGCCCTTGGGAGGACATCGGTATCACAAGAAGGAAGTCTCTATAGCATCCTGTTAACAGCTCTGCTCAGGTCACAGCTTCCTTTATTCAGTGAATAATCTGAGTCTCAGTCTTCCTCTTTTCCTACTGCCATCTGACATTTTCAACTTTTCCTACCATTTGTTTCTTTTCTAGTGATTCTTGCCTTCCCATGGTATATCCAAAGAATGTTTGCCTTAATGTTTATGCCTCCCAGAAGCCACTGGTAATGGTGCGGCTAAAAATATTGTAAATAAATAAATGTAATCATTGTATTAGTTAATCATAGCAGGATTGGATAGTTCAGTGGTTTAGGTATCTGGCTGTGGAGCAAGAGGTCGAGACTTCAATTCCCCACTATGCCTCTTGTGTGTAGAGCCAACCCATCTGGCCTTGGGCAAGCTGCACAGTCCCAGGGCACCCTCTGAAGAAGGAAATGGTATATTACTTCTGAGTATTCTCTACCTGGAAAACCCTGAAAAGGATTGCCATAAATCAGAATTGACTTTGACAGCACATGATTATCATTATTAACAGAAAGAAATTCTGTTGAGTCAGAATCTATTTGCATAGTGTCTAAACAGTGGCTGCAATCCTGTTGCTTTTTATGTACACAAAGTGAATAGCATAATATTAATTTGCTTCTAATTGGCAGTGAGATGGTATTAGAGTTAGTAACAGTATTCTTTATTTGCCATTAGCCATATGCCTTTGCAATTGTACAAGGGTTAAATAATCTGAAATTATTCAGTTTCAATCTCTCCCTCTGTTGATTTGCTATAAAATGCCAGGTATTTCTTAATACTGGGCAATGATGAGACGTAGCCATATGATTATTTTTACTGCTAGCACATTTGTATGTAAATAAAATACTTGCTGATGCTCCATTTTCAATGGAAAATTTGAAACTATTGGGTTATAATGTATTCTCAAAGGCTTTCACGGACGGGATCTGATATTTGTAGGTTTTTCGGGCTGTTTGGCCATGTTCTTGAGTTTTTTCTTCCTAACGTTTCGCCAGTCTCTGTGGCAAGCATCTTCAGAGGACAGGAGTCAGAACTCTTGTATTCTGGTGTAGTGTGTGGGATGGTTGACTATTTGTAGCTGTGGGATCAGTTTTTGTCCTTTTCAGGAGATTGGGTGATTATGGTGCTCAGGGTGTTTTTTGTTATGAGTGTATTGTAATAAGGGGGGGGGGGAGAGATGGTCTGTCGCTGTGATTAATGAGTGTCATTAGCTAGTACTGTATTTTGTGTGCAGTGATCACTGGTCCTTGTGGCTGGATAGAGTTCGTTGACCTTTTGCAGGTTGTATATTCAGTGCTGGGAACCAGGCTTTGTTGAGTTTTAGATTTTTGTCCTTTTTGTTGAAATTCTGCTGGTGTTTGTGGATTTCAGTGGCTACCCTATGTAGTCTAACATGATGATTGCTGGTGTTGTCCAGTACTTCTGTGTTTCGAAATAGAATTTCATGTCCAGTTTGTTTCAGTGCATGTTCAACTATTGCCAATTTTTCCGGTTGTTCTAGTCTGCAGTGTCTTTCATGTTCTTTGTTTCTGGTGTGGATGCTGTGTTTTGTGGTCCCAATATAGGTATCCTGTATACTCCTGCATTGGTGATGGGGTCCCTTTTGTCCTTAGCTGACTATAACATTGTATTCGCGAAGGCTTTCACGGCCGGGATCTAATGGTTGTTGTGGGTTTTTCGGGCTTCTTGGCCGTGTTCTGAAGGTGGTTCTGACTATAATATTTGTTGTATTTTTGTGGTGGGCCTGAATACTGTTTGTAGGTTGTGGGGTTTTTTTAAAAAAAAGTTTCCCCATGCTATCCGTGATCCCTTTGATGTATGGCAGAAATATTTTATTTGTGGGTGTCTGTTTTTATTCTTCAGTTCGGTGTTGTTTGCTCGGTTTGATGAAATACTCCACTATCCCACACACTGCACCAGAACACAGAGTTCTAACTTCTGTCCTCTGAAGATGCCAGCCACATTAGGAAGAAAACATTAGGAAGAAACATTGGGAAGAAAAATGTCCAGAACACAGCCAAATAGCCCGAAAACCCCACAACAACTATTGGGTTTTATGTTGCGTTCAGTCAAGTGCAGACTTTCAGAAATTCAGCTTCTTCAGAATTACAGTTGGCAGTATGCAAATATGGCATGCTGAGTGCTGCTAAAGGTCCATGAACACATGCTAGCATTTGTCTAGCTCTACAGCTAAAAAATAAATGAATGAAAATTTAAGTACTCAGTTTGATCACTAGAAATAGTTACTTTCAATTAACATTTTGGCACTAGATGTTCATTCTTGCAGCAAAATCAGACCACATGTCTTCACCAACACTTTACTGTTACATAAATTGAAATGTCTTGGCATATGTAGGTTAACAAAAGAGCCATGCTGGTGTTCCTTTGTGTTAGTCATTAGGACCTCAAGGCTATTATTCATCATAATTCAAAGAAGATTAAAAAGCCAGACTTTTTAAGCAGTCCACTGATGTTACCCAGTGATTTCAACAGGGTTAACATTTGTTTTATGCAAATGCTTTTTATAGCATTGGACTTTAAATTCAAGGCCTCGGGCTGGATTAATAAGAGGGTTCATCCAAGTGGGGAACAATGAGAAATATTGCATTGTCTAGAACAGATTATGAAACATGGGCATAAAAGCCAATGATAATATTTTAAGTATTTTAAGAATGTCAAAGTCTTCTTTGCAGGTTTAATTTTATAACCCTTTCTTTACAAATAATTGAATTCAGGCACACAAGACATTATAAACACATTGAGTGGTGGAGATTGACACTAGCAGTACTTACCAGCAGGAAGCGAAACATATTTAGACACTAATTTGCTAGCTATCTAAGTGTTAATTAGATGAACTAATACAGTTACTTTACTCTCTAATTAACCTTAAACATTGTATGTAATTGCTACATGTACAATGTGGCAAGCACACTGGATGAACAAAGCTTACGCCCTATGTTAGCAACACTGCTAGTTGTTCGGGTGTTATAACTCCTCATTTTGATAAAAGCATGTAACAAAGATGGAAAACTTCCAGGCTGGGTATCTAATCTGTTCCACAGAGACTGACCCTTAATTTCCTCCCCCAGAAGTGAATGGGAAAGGCATCCCTGCTATTATCCCCAGTTAGTGCCAAGAGAGATTCCATGCTTTCACTTCCAGTTGGAATGATGAGTGGCATTTTAAGGGGAATCTCCACTCTTGTTGCGAATCAAATGTTTGATTATAATGGAATACTGCGGCGTGCTGCTCACTGGCTTGACTGGAAGAGCAACAAATGTGCTAAAATTTTTGCCTACACCATGTCATCTTTGTGAGAAGTGCAATAGACAAAGCTTCCTCAATCCAGATATAACTTTGAGGGAGCTATCCTCCAGTCAGTTCATTTCTAAGGTAAAGAGCATAGTGTGTTTCATCTTCCAGAGTCTTTCGTTCTCTCTTCCCCCATTTCTAACCGTGATGTGTGAATGTCAGCTTTAAGACAAAGGATTCATGTGTCACTCCACCATGTTTTACACTTGTGGACATGCCCACAGGCTCACCGCAGTAATGAATTAATTACCAATTCACTTAATATTTACACATTTATCCAAAGATGGTTCATATCACAAATTTGTATCTTAATCCAACCCTGAATGTTTTGAACAGTGCCATCAGGAATGAAATCTGATCAAGATTTCCCTCACACTTAACTTCTTCCTGGTCTTACAGTGACTTGGTAATTCACTATGTGTGACCACTCACCTCTGGAGCACCTAGGGAGATGTACATATCGGTATTATACACCAGACTGACTTTATCTGTGTGAAATGTCATCCACATACATCCATAATGAGTGCCAAACAAACAGCTCTTGCTGTGGTCTCAGGAGTCCTTCCCAATCAAATAAGTATTTTCTTTTTAATTACCAAGTTCAAGCCACAGATGGTTATTTAGTTATTTTCCTAGTAGAAGATAATCCATTCCATTCACTGCGATTACAAGTGGGCCAAGTCTCTACTAAAATCTGGCATCATTTGTCCTCGGAATGAAACCAAATACACTGAAGGGATCATCATGAGTAGCATCTTCAGAGAGTGTATTTTCAGCATTCAGCTGTGCACTATTGAGATAAATACACGTGTCTGAGGGCACCGAGCTCATTCTGGTATGGTGGTCATCCACTTCTGGTGGAGGATTTTTCTTTTTTCTAAGGTTTTTGTTTTTTCTTTTCACACTGTGATCCAGGGAAGCATAGCACATCTGGCGCTCAGCTGTCTGCTATAAAAAGAATTATATTATTGATTAACATATGATTCTTTCTTCACCTATGAGACTTTTCATATCTGAGAGCTATTTGGGGAAATATACCACAAGTATATATTGGCTGAAATCCTATGGTATAACTACACCTGCAGAAGGGTGATGATATCACTAACAGGAGAAGATTTTTGGTAATTAAAATATTTCCCTTTATATCTTCTGAATTGTCTGACTATCTTGTTAACTGAGAATAATCCATTTCATCACGTGGAAGCTGTGGGAGCAGCAGGATGGAAGGAGGAAGACTTTCATTACTGAACCAGTAACATAATCCAGTGCCAACAATTCTCAGTAATGAAAGACTTCTTAAGACAAATACACCTTTTTTGGTCTGATTGAAGAGTAGAACTTCCAGAGACCCTCTCATCAACGATCTATGGAAGGAAAAATTCCATAACATTCAGACACAAATTAAACCTTATAAAAATGCTTCCCCTGTATGGAAATCACAGAAATGCAAAGGATAAAAATTATTAATAACAGTACCTGTGCTTCAGTGATAGATGTGTGAGGCTGAGCATGGGCATTCATTTGTTCATAGCAACTTTCATCTGGATATAGTTTGAAAGAAAAAAAATTAAAACAGTTGCTGCTAAAATGTTATTAATGTCTTGCTAAAAGCTTAAATTTCCAATTCATTGTAAAAATATTTTGATGGAATCATTTTCTGCCATCAAGGTTTTATTGTACTTAAAAAAAACCTTTATTGCTATAGACATGAGGTGGCACAATAGGAGAAAATTTGAAAAAGACATGCATGTATCATATTGAGGACATTTGTATATATCAGGGGTTCCCAACCTTGGTTAACCCAGATGTTCTTGGACTGCAACTCCCAGAAACCCTGGCTAGCATAGCTGGTGGTGAAGGTTTCTGGGAATTGCAGTCGAAGAACACCTAGGTTACCCAAGATTGGGAACCACTGGTATACATATATGACTATCCTAAAGTCCTTCTCTTGCCATTTCACAGTACCATGGAGATACTCATGTCTCTCAAAGGGAATGCCAGTATAGTTCAAACAGGTTTTTCCAACTTTAAATACACTCCAGAAGCAAACTACATGTTCATAATCCAAATGTCAGTCAAGCTGAGTACAGAAAGGCTTATTACCAGAATGCCTAGTTAAAGTGAGTACAGTAAATATGAGCACAATGATAATGTAAAGTCAGTATGTTCTGCATCACTTAAAAGCAAGGGTATTCAAGGTATGTGTTGTATGTAAGAAACTGTGCTCATGATGACACTAAAAACTGCAATATACTACTCATTTTCAAAATAAAGATCGAATTAAATCTTCACCTTACAAGCACAAACAATAATTTAGTTTAGTTTAACGCTGAGCCAAAGCAGGGCTGGGGAGATCTCCCACAGCTTGGTGTGGGAACGCTTGCTCCTCTTTCTCAGTCCACTAGCTGCACGTGGCTTAGCCAAAGGATCCTAAATAATATAAATGGACAACCTTAAATATAACTTACTTAGTATATCTTGATGACAGCGATTGAGATTGTCATAAACAGGACATTCCTCAGAATAAAATTCACTGTTGCTGTGAAAAAGGATGAAAGAAGAAACAAAGAAGAAAAAAAAGTCAAGTTTAGATTCATAGGAACACAATAGCCCAGGATGCATTTCATATGAAAGTATCCACAGTACCTACGTGGTATAGTGGAAAGAGTGATTGACTAGGATTCAGAAGACCTGAGTTCAAATCCCTGCTTAGCCATGGAATCTCACTGGGCAATTGAACTAAGTAAATCTGTTATTAAATATCTCACTTACCTTAAACACCCTACTAGGGTCATTATAAGTCATTTCCAACTGAACAGCACATAGCAGCAAAAATCCACAATATATTTAGAATAAAATGTTATATAAAATAGATTGACTTGTCTGCCAAGTCTTTGCATGAACGACTGTATCTTACAGCTGTGTGAGTAAATACAATGGACCACATTGTAAGATTCCCCTTGAGATGAGTGTAGGTGGAAAGAGCATAAGCAGTGCATACCAATGGGAGATTGCAAGGTAATTTTTCTAGATTTCTCCCCTCTCCTTTGAAAATTGTACCAACATTTTAAACAGTGTCCTCCTTTCCCTTTTACACAGCCAACTGGTGAATAGAGGCATGCCTTAGGATCCAACCTCAAATGTCTATGGGAAATAAACACAAAATAAAGGCCCATACCAATCCTTTACATGAGAGGACAAACAAAAGAATGAGAACATGTATCATACCATGGTTCCTGGTAGTTCTCACACTTCACACTCATGCCTGGAAAATATTTTGGGGGGAAAGGTTAGAAAAATTGAAAACAAATAAGCATTGTAATTTATGTTATCAAAAGTTGCCATATTGTTAAAAATGCTCCTTCCTGCCTTATTACTTTCCCCTGAGAACAGATTAAGTGTTCTGACTTGAAATGATAGGTAACTAAGTTTATCTTAAATATTCTTGCAAAGTTCCCATTAATCCATAGAGGCCAGAAAAATGTCCCTGTAGGCATGTACCAATTAGTGAAAGGCAATGACTTTTATTTTAAGAATATACTTTTCATTCATACTGTAAAAAATATTGTAAAAAAAATAAATAAATGTGCCCAACATCTTCTTATATTTAAATAATAAATGTATCCAACAACTTGAGGCCATGGCAACAGGAAGAAATTGGGAAAAAAAACCCACTGCATTACAACATGAGGTTAGGAAAGGAGATTTAAAACCACCAAATATCTATTCAGCTAGCCCTGGGTAGATTGAGGTACTTGCCTCAAGCAGCAAATGCTGGTGTGTGTTTGTGTGGAAGAGCAGTAACAGCTCCTCCCGCTGTTCCTCCTGAATTTCTCAGCCATTCGTGTCTTAGAACACAGAGCTGTGTGTAACCCAAGGAGATGTGTCCTCCCACTGCTTTCAATATAATGAAAGATCCTTTGCGATCAGCAAGTTCTACAGCTAGGCGCAAGTGCCAGTCTGTTCTGTTCAGGAAATGGAAAGAACCATCCTGTATTTTGCCTTCAGCAGCAAAAAAAAAATGAGTTGGGTCAGGTTATGCAGTTTTATTGACCACCTGTTCTCCCTGTTGGGAGTTCAGGTAGGACAACGTAGAAGAAATAGAACAAACCTTGAAAAATGGGTGTTTTAGCTAAGACAAGACAAAATTTTAAAAAAGGAAAACAAAATAACACATCCTGCCTAATCAGGTCAGAGATGCTACTTCACACATTGGGAACAAATTATGTTAACAACTTGCCCCAGATGCACATCCCACTTCCTTTGTGCTCTTTTCATAAAGATTTCTCAGTCACAGGAAATGCATTACATTTTCCCAACTATGTCAGTCAAAAGGACCAAGAAGTTGTTTGTGATTTTCTTATTCAAGATGGTTGATGACATTTATGGGACCCAACAGTTCCACAGACAGGCCATCGGATGTAGCAAAGACAGTGTTGAGCTCCACAGGGTTGGCCACAGTAGTGAACAGAATCTAAGACAAAATTCATGTTTTCTGACCAGATTTCAGAAATGTTAATAATCTAAATTCATAGAGCTCTGGATCTGATCCACTGGGGTCCTTCTAATTCAGACTAGAGCTTGGAAATGTTACTTTTTAAAACTACAGTTTCAATGCTGTCTGGGGGATCTGGGGAGTCATAGCCCACAGTTGTAGTTGTGATTCAGATGCTTTCTCATATGCAACTGTCCATTGGTTTAAATCATTTCCTGTAAGCCCAGAATTTTTTTCAAAGACAGGGAAAATCTGTGCAATTTTTATTTTGCACAGATAGAGGCCAAATTTAATCTCCAAACGGAGTGTAGAAAATATACAGTGAAAGGATAACAAGACCCTCTAACATTATTAAGTAATACTGAGCACATGACCATGACACAGGAATAAATAAATATTCAGTCTTCTTAGTCAACCTCTTACAAAAGACGAGCAAAAGATTATTTTTTTCTTCATATTCCAATGCATTTCCTGCTTTGTCTCATCCTGCAAAATTTATCCTTCCATATTTTCAATAGCACAGTTCTCTGTTATTTAAGTCAGACTCACATTAGTTCAAAGAGGATAGTGAACATTTAGCTTATTCCCTTTTCTTCCAGTCATGTACGGCACCCTTCATGCCCAAACTAAGGTCTAATATTCTAATGTATTCCATTAATACTCGTACATGAAGCTGACTTATATTCATTCAGAATATCTGTCATCTAGCCCAATGTGCTCTGCAGAAGCAATGGGAAATCTATGGTCCTGTATAACCTAGATTCTAGATATGACTCTATCTTGCATGAGACCCAACCAGTATGGTCAAAGTCAGTTCAAAAACATCCGAGTAACAAAGGTTAAGAACCACTGATCTAGCCCAATGTGCTCTGCAGAAGCAATGGGAAATCTACGCTCCTGTATAACCTAGATTCCAGATATGACTCTATCTTGCATGAGGCCAAACCAGTATGGTCAAGAATTTCGGCAATTACAGTCCAAAATCTGGATTTCTGATCCATAACTGTGACTGAGTGATACACTGAATACATTGTTCACTGGACATGCCAACAATTAAGTTTATGGACATGTGCAAACAAAACATGTACTGCAGGACAGACCTTTCACTTTTACTTTTGTATTACTGATCTATTACTATGAAATTTTAGATGCATATTATTTTTCCCTAACGAAATACATGCTAATAAAGCAATGTAAATACAGACAAACATTTCAGTGAAATAAATCTTCACATCTAAACTATGGGACAAGTACATTGATTATTTACCTCATAGTTTGTGTTGGATTTGGCATAGATAGAACTGAATTAAAAACTGCTGACCACATGAGGAGGAAACCCAGTGTTTTCCACTGGGAAATTGCTTCTTTTTGTTCTGCTGACAAGGAACAGCTTATACCACATGAGGAGGAAACCCAGTGTTTTCCACTGGGAAATTGCTTCTTTTAGTTCTGCTGGCAAGGAATAGCTTATTCTGCTCTGATTTGGGTGGCATTGCTTTTCTTGACTTTCTGGCATGTGTGATCATCTAATCTGATGCAAAGGAATACTCATGGGGATGTCAGTGGATGCATTACTACAGTTATTTATTTATTTATTTATTTATTTATTTATTTATTTATTTATTTATTTATTTATTTATTTATTTATTTATTTATTTATTTAT